TGGGTGCGGACGGGCCGTCCCAGGCTGACAGCCCTGCTTGGCTTCCAGGTCCCAGGTCTCGATGCTTGTCCGCCCACTCGCCCCCCAAGGGCTCCTGCTCCTCGCCACCCCACTGACTGCCCGCAGCCCCTCCCTGGTCCTCTTCCTGAGCCATGGACGCTTCGTCGCTCGGACAGATGGCCCAGGGCCCCAGCTGCACGTCCAGAGCCGCCAGCGTTCACGGGCTGGCCGGTGGCATAGGGTGAGGGGCCGAGGAGCGCTGGGCAACGGGCAGGGCGCCGGAGCTCCCACCCTGACATGCCTCTCCCCACCCCCAGGTGTCTGTGCGCTGGGAGAAGACTCGGATCCAGCTGGTGACGGACGGGGTCTGGGCCCGGAGTCAGGAGGAGCCAGGCCAGCAGCACCAGGGGGAGGAGGGCCCCCGGCCCCATACTCTCTTTGTGGGGGGCCTCCCTGCCAGCGGCTTCAGCCCCAAGCTCCCAGTGAGAACCACCGCCCGCAGCCTCTCCCCGGCCCAACTGGACGCTGTCCGCCCTCCTCGGCTCCCCAGGGACGTGACCTGGCCCACCCCTCTGTGCCCTGCAGGTGGCCTTCAGCAGCTCCGGGTTCAGTGGTTGTGTGAAGAGACTGAGGTTGGACGGGCAGCTCCTGGGGGCCCCCACGCGGATGGTGGGGGTCACACCCTGCTTCTCAGGTCCTCTGGAGAAGGGCGTGTTCTTTGCTGGCAGCGGGGGAAGCCTCACTCTAGGTCTGTCCAGCACTGGTGTCTCCAGACCTGCTTGTTCCTGGTCTGGGGAGGCGGGGGTGGGAGCGATGCCCAGAAAGGGAGGGGCCTGGGGCTGAGACCTTCCTCCTCTCATGGCCCCTCCCCACAGACAGCCTGGGGGCCACGCTGCCTGACGTGGGCCTGCAGCTGGAGGTGCGGCCCCAGACAGCCACCGGCCTCATCTTCCACTTGGGCCGGGTCCAGGCGCCCCCCTACCTGCAGTTGCAGGTGTTGGAGAAGCAGGTAATTAGACCAGGTGTGGACGAGTCTCAGGATGGGATTCAGGTTGGCAGAGCCCTCCTGACCTCCTCCTGCCCTCAGGTCCTGCTGCGGGCAGACGACGGTGCAGGCGAGTTCTCCACGCTGGTGACGCACCCCGAGGCGCTCTGTGATGGGCAGTGGCACCGACTGGCCGGTGAGCTGGGCACCCCACCATGTCCAGGACATCCCTGACCCCCGCCCCCCACTGCAGTTGAGCCTGGGAGGGACTGGGCAGGGGGCAGCTGCAGACCCCCAGGCAGGGGCGCTCAGGAGCCACAGCCACGTGGCAAAGCGCCCCTGGCCGGTGGCTGGCGAGAGGACCCCCTCCCCGGCCCCGGCCACAAGGAGGCTGTGCCCCGCAGTGACCAAGGTGGGGCGCGCCCTCCGGCTGGAAGTGGACCTGCAAGGCAACCGCACCCTTGGCCCCACGCCCGTGGCCTCGGCTGACACCTTGGTGCCTCTGCACCTCGGGGGCCTGCCTGGTGAGTGTGACCTCGGCCTGGGGGACAGTGGTGGCAGGGAGCTGCCCCTGGGGACTGGGCATCGGGGTCACCTGCTCTCATCCTATCCTCCTGTGAGGGGACATCCAGGGAGACAGGCCTGGTGGGGGTGCTGGTAGGGCCCGGCCTCTGCGCCAACCTGCCTCCCTCCCTCCCTCTTCCCCTGCACCCAGAATCCAGGGCCACGCAGGCTGGGCCCCCCACCTGGACGCGCCCTCAGCCTCCAGTCTACCTCGGCTGCATGAGGAACCTGGAGGTGAACCGCTCCCCAGTGGCCCTGCCTCGCTCTGCCCGCCTGCAGGGGGCTGTGGGGGCCAGCGGCTGCCCTGCCGCGTAGCACAGCTGCCCCCGGACCCTTGCCAGAACCGGTGGTCTCCACGCAGGAGGGTCTGCAGGACCCCCAGGTGGGCCGCCCATCAGGCAGGGTCCTGCTCCTCAACCCCAGCCCCCCCACAGAACTTGCCGACAGCACCGCCCGCAGCCCGTTTCACAGAGGAGGTTTGTGTGTATTTATCTAGACTCCAGGTTCTACAGGTTATGAGTCTTATTTCTGGAAATGGTTTAAGTTATGTTTGATTTTCTAAACGAAAGGATAAATACTGTAAGACGGTTTTTATACTTTTTATCTTTCAGTGTAATGTGAGATTTTCTTTCCACCCATTTTAATAGTACGAGAGACCTGTAAACCACTGGTCCCTGCTGCTTAAAACAAAAATTAAAAAGTTAACTCCACGTAACTGAGTGCTGACTTTGACTTTGAAAAGAGAAAAGCTGTCAGACAGGTAGCTCTGCCTGGCGTGGGGTCCCCGCCCCGGAAGGACCGCCCCTCAGAAACCTGGAGAAGCTTCTCACCGCAGCTCCCATCTGGCCACAGTGAGGACGGGCCGGCACGGTGCCCCGGGCACGCAGACAAACCCAAGTTGGCAGATAAAAGAAAAGACTTTTATTGATTAGCAAGTGGGGATGGAGGTGCGAGGGTGCGCGGGGCATCGCAGGAGCCACTGCTGCGGTCGCATGGCCCGGCCCCCGGCCCCCAGCCCCCGGCGGCAGCAGACGGCTCAGTCCAAGCTCATGTCCTCCTCCTCGTCCTTCTTGTCCTTGCCATCGCCCTCTGGCTGCTCGGGGCTGGCACTGTTCTGCATGGCTTTGGCAAACGCCTCCACATCTGCAACACGTGAAGGACGTGAGCCGACCTTCCCTGAGCGCAGCCCGCGCCACTGACCGAGGGGCGGGGAGGCAGGACCCCACCCCATGCCCTCCAGCTACAAGGACAGAAGCAACCCGGGCTCGGCCGCAGCCACAAGGCAGCCGGGCAGGTACTCACCGCCCTTGTTGGCAGCCTCCACGGCCTCGGCGGGTAGCCCGAACTGGCACATGAGGGGGCCCAGCTGCCCCGAGGCCAAGGCTGCACTGAACATGCCCAAGGCCTGCGAAGGAGAAGCCGGCTCCTCTGAGGTCACGCTCGGCAGGGCCCTGCCACACTGCGGGCGGCTGGGCGCGTCCCCCGCCCAGCACGCACAGTGGGGGCGCAGGGCCACGGCTTACCTGCTGGAACTGGGGCGAGGTCAGCGTGTTCTGGATCTCCTCTGCGGTCTGCGGCAGCGACTCCCCAGAGGGGAGGTAGGGCAGCAGGCGCTCCTGGACGTCCGCGTTGGCGAGGATGGGGGCCATGATCTCGGGCGTCAGCACACTGGCCAAGTCAACTAGGGCACAGGCGTGTGGCCATCAGCGGCTGGAGGTCAGCCCAGAGGCCCCCGTGGGAGGAGCACGCCAGACCCCGAGCCAGGGGACTACCAGGTGTGGCCTGGCGAGGAGCACAGATGCAGGGCAGCAGCGCAGCCCCAGGCCTGGGAAAGTCGGTGGGCGGGGGTACCTTCACCCCCAGCTGCAGCCAAGGAGCCGTGTTACCTTGCTGGCCGCCTGTTGGCCCGGCCGGCACGTTCATGGTAGCGAGGATGCTCTGAAGGTCGCTCAGCTGGATGGGCTGGGTTGGGCTGGCTGCCGTGCTGGTTCCATTACCTGAACTGGGTGCGGGGCTCGGGCTGGTTGCTGAGGCAGCTGCTGGAGCAGAAGGGGCTGGGGTGGCGCGGGTGGAGGAGGCGGTGGAGGATGGGGTGACCGCTGCCGACTGACTCCGGGAGCTGGGAAGAGGGGAGTCCACACTGGAGCAGCGACGCCCCCACAGAGGTGCCACGACACATCCCCATGCTGCCAGGATCCCCCCCACCCCCCAGGTGCCTATTTTGTCCCTCTGTGTCTCCGACATCCAGCCTCCTCCTCAGAGGGGACACCTGGTGGCGCCCAAGGATGTGGGCATGAGGCTCACCTGGATGAAGAGCTGCTTGCCGGAGGCCCTCCGCTCCCCAGCAAGCTGGCCAGGCCTGGCCCAGTTAGGGCCCCCAACCCACCTACGAGGAGCAAGGAGACATGCACTCAGACCTGCGCCCAGAATGAGAGCCCACCTCTCCCCCCACCCCTCGCCAAAGGAGCAGAAAGACCCCACACTAAAGCCAAGGGACAAACGGGGGAGGTGGTGACCACAGCACACCTGGGGCGGCCACGGAGTAGGGGCTACCAGGTAAGTAAGATCCCCACTGTGCCACCCCTGCTAAGGCGCTTGGGGTCAAGTAACGTGCAGTCCAAGTCCAACACAAAGCAACAAGCCCCTGAGCTAGACAAGAGGTGGCAGAAGGCAGGCAGACGAGGGGGCACTGGGCAGGGGCCCTGAAGGCCCAGCTCCCAGCTCCAATGCTAAGGCAAACCAGGCCCTTCCCCAGGGACACCAGCACACAGGACAAGCATTCAGACGCTGCTCAAACAGCTGGGTAGACGCTTAAAGGAAACACAGGTGGCAGCTGTCCGACTCAGGACCAGGCCGCGGGGCAGTGGGCAGTTACCCAGTCCTCCGAGGCCGGCAGGCCCGATGAGCTGCATCAGCTGGCTGTGGCTCATGTTCCCCAGCAGGCTCTGCAGGCCGCCCTCGCCTGGAAGACACAGCCGCTCAGACCTGGGCTTCCAGCGGACAAAGCGCGCCCACCGCGGCGGCCCGGGGCTGGCCCCTGGTGGCTGCCGAGCTCCCAGCGAGTGCCCCCCAGCACGAGCTAACCAGCAGGCTCGCACACTGCTTCACCACTGGGCGGGTACTGACTCTGCAACTGGGGAGAGGAGCTTCTAACTGGGAAGCCTCCATGTTCACTTAACGAGTGGCCCGCGCCATCTGAAATCCCCTCCGACCTCACAGCACGTCCTGGCAGGAGGGGACCGTTACCGCCCAGTGCGGAGAGCTCATGGCCTCCACTCCCACTGGCGCCCAGGGCGCCGGGCATCGGGGGGTTGTTCAGATACTCGTTGACCTTCCGGCAGTGCTCCTCGTCCTGGTCCGTCTTGGGCTCCTGCGGGGAGGATTCAACGGGCACCCTGAGCAGCCCCGGTCACGGAGCACCTTAGAGGCGAGGAGCCTGAGGCACTCACACCAAGGAGAGGCCCTGCAGGGTGGGGACCAGAACATCGGTCTGACGTGCCCGCAGGAGCTGGCGCCCTGCGTACAGATGAGAAACCCAAGCCCCAGGGGAACGCCCCACGCAGATCCCGCCCCGCCGCCCACCAGGACGCAGCTCCTTACTCAACGAAAACCACGAACTCTCCCTCAACACATGGGATGCAATGAGACAACCCGTTCCTCACACCGCTGCCCACTGACCAGTCCTGGCCCGCAGTTGGCTGGGCACCGACTGAGCGCCCGGGGGTGCAGGGCTCACCAGGCAGCGCCACCCTGTGAGCACTCCCAGAACTGCGAGACAGCACCCACGACTCAATGGTCACTAAGCACGTGCCGTGGGCCTGGGGACACGGGGACACAGGGCAGGGGGGCGAAACACAGTCCCCACCCTCGAGGCAGAGGGAACCGAAAAACATGTGCTCTAAGTCTGACAGCTTTTCTTGGTGAAACTGAAGAAACAAGCTCTCTGCCAGCAGCTGGCAAACCACAACCCCATCTGTTTGCAAATAAAGTTTTATAGCAACACGGCCGCACACATTCATTTACTTGCTGTCCACGCCCCTGTCACACAGCTTTGGCAAAGGTGAGCAGGTGCGACACAGGCCACGCAGCCCACGAAGGGGAAAACCTTTCCTGCCCTTTTCTAGAAAGTACTGGGGGGAGGGCAGGAGTTCAGCCCCTGTGGAGGGAGTCTGGCGACATCCGTAGAAGTTGCGCGCACACGCACACCAACTGCACGAGCAAGCCCACCTCCGGGGGCACGAGGCAGCCCTACTGCGCCCAGAGCGCCCCACAGCGGAGGGCGGGCAGCGAGACCACGCACGGCCACCAGGCTTTTGGTCCGGGCTCCTCGCAACCCTGGACAGAGCACTGGGAGCCACGCAATTACAGGCAGAGATGGGACCCAACCCGAAAATCACTGTGGTCTGTCAGCCAGGGAATCCTGTACCTCGAAAGGGCACCTGAAGCCCAGTGACAAGAGTCTGGACCCTCCATGGCCCCCATGCCCCCACCAAAAGGAGACACATTAGAATTACCAGGTTCTAGGCCAACGGTGTTTTGTCAGCACCAGCTGATTTGTGAACGCAAATCCCACCATCCAGGAAGCAAGTTCCTAGCCTCATTTTGTGACAGGGAGAAAAGATAAAATGCAAAGAAAATCCACAAACCTGCATCCAAAAGAAGAGCCGCTTGGACCCCGCCTTAAACTTGAGCACGTAGACCCTCCCGCTGGGGCACTGCGGCACACGCTTGAACTCACAGTCATCAGGGAAGATGATCAAATCCTGCAAGAAGCCAGAGGATAAGGCAGTCGACGTCACAAAAACAGCATCGTCGAGCCCCAGAACGTCCAGGAAAACATGCCGGATCCTGTGTCTAGTGTGTGGGGGTGGGGAGGGGAGGACACAGGACACAGAGACGGGCAAGTCTGCCAAGCCCCTCACCAGCAGGGTCTCTGCAGGGCAGGTAAGCCAGGGTCGGGGGCACCCCAAGAAGGGCGGGAGGGCCAGGAGAGGGGCTCAGTGCTCAACAGGGAAAGAGAGCTTGCAGGTCTTGAGGAATTTTTAGTAGAGACACTTTGGGAGCAGTATTCTAAGATGAGTTAAAAAGCCAACCCTGACCTGCTCTCGAACCTAACAAAAAATGATTGAGTCTGAAGAACAAAGAACCCCAAACAAAATGTCCTCTAGAGAAAGCTTTCTGAAGGGCTGAGGCGAGGGCCTCTAAACAGCTTCTCTGATTCTAGGAACCTCATCTCCAGAGCTGAAAGGGAACAAACACATCGACAGGAGAAATCTGTACAATGGTTGAGATGAGAAAGACCCATAAGCAAAAGGAAACAGCTGATGAGAGGACCAAACCCAGGGTTCCACATATCCCACCCACACTCCACACTGCACAACAGCCGCCCTGCGCCCAGACTGCGGTGTCCCTTTGTAAACACCGCACTGTTCTGAAGACTAGGTGGGTCCTTAAAGTCCTAAGACGAGGGGCAGGCCACCAGACACTCACGTCTTCCACGTTACCAGATGTCCTGTCTTTCCAGCAAAAGTGAATGAGGGAGTCGTCCGTCTGCTGAATGTACACAAGCCCTTTCCGTTTATCTGGGGTGACAGTAGTTCCTTTTAATGACATTTTTCCTGCTCGAAACTCCACCAAATACTTGTTGGAGGACCCACGGGAGCCTGGCACTAGGCTTGGAAACAGAGCGCCTGAAGTCGTCATCCTGAAAGAGGGATCAGCGCGCAGACCCGTCACTACCACGGAAACCCTAACTTCTTCCTCGAGTGTGAAGCGTCGCGGGCGGAGTGGAAGCCCCTCTCTCCGGACCCCCGGGTTCGACCGTGCTGGGAGCAAGTGAGCGGGCGTGAGCTGTCCGACACCTGCTGCGAAGCTCGCGCCGGGGTGGACCCGAGCCGGGCAGTACCTGAGCCCGAGGAGCCAGGTTCCCAGCTTCTCACGTTTCACAAAGAACAATTATAACCTCTACATCCAAACCGCATCGGAGCCGGGGACCCTCCTCAACACCACTTTCCGTACTTTTAAAAATAAACTTTTAAATCTGCAGCTCCGGAGAATTTAAAACCTTGCACCGGGCAGAGACACTGCCAACACCTCGTTTCTGACGGACACGGGCCCGGCAGGCTGCAGCGCTCCCTTAGAAAAAGAAAAGCCGAGCAGCGGGGGGAACTCCGCCGTGTCTCCCCGCGGGGGCCGGGCCGGGCCGCCCCCC